CCTTGTCGCCCTTTAGCCCAGAATATCCCAAGCTTGGTGCGGCTCTCTTGTCCTAGAACCCTCAAAGTCTGCACTTGGACTCATCATGAGGTCTGCCCACCACAGCTGGGGGCCTTTACAGGCCAGGGTTCTGGCTCCATGGTCAAAGGAGGACAAATCTGGTACCAGACTTTATTTAATCAGGTCTTTAAAGTTGTGTAATAACTTTAGCAACAACTAGCAACACATTGTGTATTATCAGCAAAAATTGAAAGCAACTGAGAAGGGCACAAGAGAGCTTTTTGGGGTGATGACGATGGTAATATATATATTTTTTATTGAAACAGTCTCATTCTGTCACCCAGGCTAGAGTTGAGTGACGTAATCATAGCTCACTGCAGCCTCAACCTCCCAGACTCAAGCAATCCTCTGGCCTCAGCCTTCCAAGTACCTGGGACTACAGGTGTGCACCATTACACACAGCTAATTTTTAATTTTTGTAGAGACGGGGTCTTGCTATGTGGCACAGGCTGGTCTTGAACTCCCTGGCTTCAGCCATCCTCCCCCCTCAGCCTCCCAAAGTGTTGGCATTACAGATGTGAGCCACTGCACCCAGCCAGTGATGGCAACATGTCACCCTTGCTAGGAGTGTGCTTCACACTGCAGTATACACTTTTCATAGTGAACTGAATGGTGCACTTAAGAGACATACGTTTCACTGCATGTAAATCTTACCTAAAAGGACAACAGCAACCAAATACTGAAAGTTAATTAGATGTATGCTGAAGTCAAGTTCCACCCTGGGAGATTTCCCAGTATAAGTAAGTGCATACACGTAGTCTACCTCCAAAGGGAGACCGCCTGTGTTCTCACTTCACTTTCTACCAGAAAGGGAGCCAGGGGGCTACTTTGGGCCCTGCAGTATGCTTTATTTAATCCCCAACTTATTTGAAAATGCATTCAAAAAATAAGATGGAGAGTCAGGTGTGGTGGCTCACTCTTGTAATCCTAGCACTTCCCTCCCTGCTGAGGCAGGGAGGATCACTGGGGGCCAAGAGTTCGAGGCCAGCCTAGGCAACATGATAAGACTTCATCTCTATATTTTAAAAAGAAAAAAATGAAAAAAAAAGATGGATACAGACATGGACAGAGGGATGGAGCAATGGAGAGACATGATAAAGCAAATATAGTAAAATGTGATTTGTAGAATCTAGATAATGGACATATGAATATTGACTACCATTCTTTCCACTTTTCCGTACATTTGCGAGTGTTTGTAATGATATTTTGGAAAAAAATAAAATTGAAAGCAAGTCAAGAAGTCAATAATATGGGGAATGGTTAAATAAATTACAGTTAAATAAATAAATCTGATCTGATTTTCTGAGACTGGGAAGAGTAGTTGTTCAGATAACTTTGTCAGAACTGTGAAGTCATCCGCAACCCAATGTCGAATGGAAGCACCGCCTGTGAGCAGTATGGAAATGCAGAAGGCTCCCGATGCTTTTTCAGCTGCATCCTCCTTGCTGAGACTACAGGCTTTAGAATGGAATAGACTCATCTGGGTTCAAATCTGTCCTGCCACTCATCACCTGGATAAACTCCCCATGCCTTGTTTCGGTTCATCTGAGAAATAAAGACAGCAGCATGTACCCCACGGCACTGCGGGGAAGATCAGATGAGTCGCTGCTCGTGAAAGATGGCCCTAAATCAATGCCTGGTGCTGAAAGCACTCAGGAAGAGGGAGCTGCCGGTATTACTGAGGGCTTTCCAGGGTTCAGGACGAGGCCCCTCGTAATGAGCAGTGTACACCGAGGGGTTGCCGATACACAGGCAGAAGCTTGCCCCAGCAGCAAAAAGCTCTTATTCCCTTAGCTAACAAGTCACCATCTATTTTTTTAAGATGCTGTAAGAAAAACGGACCGGATGGATGTACACTTAAAAAACTCACAGTGGCCAGGTTAAGCTGGTAAGATATGACACACTTCTTTTCCCATCCCCCTTCTACAATTTGCCTGTTTGCTTCTCCACCTCCGACCCAGCCTAACTCCCACACATCCTCCAGAAAACAACTCAAATAGCACCTCCTCAGGGAAGCTCCACCCTCATCTGCCAGACTAGGCCAGTTCCCCGGTTACAGCCTCCCATAGAACTTGACCCTCTTTGCCGTCATATGTATGTATGTTCAGTTGTTTGTTTAATGTGTCCCATCAGATCCCCAGAGCCCAGCATAGCACTCGAAGCATAGAATACTCTAAAAAATAAATTCCAGACTGGGCACAGTGGCTCACCAGCCTGAGCAACATAGGAAGACTCTGTATCTACAAGGAAATAAAAAATTAGCCAGACGTGGTGGTACATTCCCGTAGTCTCAGGTACTAAAAAGGCTGAGGTGGAAGGACTGCTTGAACCCAGGAGGTTGAGGCCATAGTGAGCCATGATCATGCCACTGCACTCTAGCCTGGGCAACAGATGAGATCCTTACAAAACGAAAGAAGGAGGGAAGGAAGGAAGGAAGGGAGGGAGGGAGGGAGGGAGGGGGAGAGAAAAGAGAGAGAGAGAGAGGAGGGAAGGAAAGAAAGAAACAAAGAAAAGAAAAGGAAAAAGAAAAAAAGCAATGAAAATGAATTCCAAGTGTTTGGGAAAGTGATTTCACTCTGTATATTGAAAAGTAAATAGGAAATTAGGAGGAGACACAGAGTAATAAAACTGAATCCACACTTGTCCCAGGCAACATTACATAGCTCTTAACTATCAAAGACATATGGCAGTGCCTCATGTGGTTTCACTTTTTTCCTGGGAGAAATGTCAGGGTGCGGGGAAGGTGTGCAGCAGAATCCTCCTCGAACCCCACGCCCCACCCGCCAGCCCTGTGCAGTGCTCCCTCTGCTTCTCACAGGCCCAGCCCCTCCTTGCTGACAGCTGGCCAAGTCCCAAGGATCCCCAGGTATCTTGAGTCCTATTTTCCAGCAGAAGGGCTCAAGGCACCTTTGGTGGAGACCTTGGATGTGTTGTTGAGAACACATCCCACCACCATGGCCACGTGCTCAGAATCTGCACGTGTGAGACAGCAGAGCTGGAGTGCCCTTAGAGGCCACCTCTAGTCCAGCACCCTTCCACCCACTTCATAGACAGAGACAGAGTCCCAGGTATGGAAAGGGGCTTATCCAAAGTCGCACCGCCATGCAAGGGTTTAACTGGACAGGTGGCCGTGCATGTGAATGCCCAGTCTTCTAACAGCCTAACTCAGAGAAGAGAAGACACTGCATAAAATGTACAGACGATGGAGCATCGCCCAGGTAGCTCCTCACCCCTGGACCGAGGTGCACGGTCCCACGGCTGACAAAAGGCCTGCCTGTGATAACTCATAACTGAGTCCCTCTTCAGAAACTGCCTTCAGCCAGAGACAGCTACCTTATCCAAGGTTATACCTGGGTTCTGGGGGCAGCCCACAAGCAACGGCTGGTCACTCACTGGAGGGATATCAAGTCCCTCGGATCTGCTGGATCCACTGAGGCTGGTGTTGCAATTGCATCACAGTCCAATGTCTCCACATGTCTGGTTCTGCCTCCCTCACCCCGCCCTGGTGTTGTTTCCAGAGCACACACCAATGAACTTCCTATACGCAAATCTGTCTCAGCATCTGTTACCAAGGAAACGCAACCAAAGGCGGGGCAGCCAGGAGCAGGAAGTGGTAAGACGTCCCTGTGAATCAGAGTGAGTGAAATGGTTTCACGGAACACTGAGCACCTAGTGAACACCAGCCCCACCCTCGAAGATCCCCAGTGGAAGTAAATGCATCCGTGGAATCTGCCTGCAAAGGGAGACCGTCTGAATGCTCACCCCACTTTCTTCTAAGCAAACAGCCAGGGCTACTTGGGGCCCTCACGCACTCTTTTCTTCGCCCTCAAGCCTGTACGTCTGTGATGGTTGCTGTGTCAGCACAGGGGAACGGCCGCTTAGGAGAGCTGGCGTGTCCTCTGAGTACGTACACGCCGTTTGGGTCATTTCACAAACTTTATCTTAGCTATTGCTTCTGCCTTCCTGTGAGGGAAGAATTTATGACCACTGTTTTGCAAAGGAGGAAAGTGAGCCTTTGAATACCTTTTCCAAGATCAAGGAGCCTGTTACCTTCAGACCCAAGACTCCATCCCAGGTGGGCATGCCCCATGGCCAGGGTCTCATTCCCTACACCTCACTGCATTTCTTCACACTTCAGCGGATGCCTTAACGGAACCTAAGCAAGTGGATGCCAGGGTTCTAGCCATATCTTTCTGTAGCTGGAAAAGTCAGAATAGGCCTTTGACTCACTTCCTTCTCCTTTCTAAGGAAAACCATGTGTTTATTCTCTTATGCCAAAGTTGCAACAGAGCTGAAGTTTCGCCAGGGTTAACTTTAAAAGCTGGGCAGAAGGTCAAAACCCTTTGCCCTGATGCCTGTTTATATTTCCAGAGCAAAAGAAGAAGATTGTAATAAGAAATGCTCTCATCTGTTGGGCTGTACCTGCAGGAAGGCAGGGGGTCTGGATGGAGGCCCCTCCCAGTTCTCAGATCTGCTCCAGAGACCTGCGCTCCGTCCACTTCTCCTGGAGCTGAGCAGCACCCCCTTCTGTTCTGCTTCCGTTGAAACTGGGGCAGAGCTGGTGGAGACCCTGACAGCTACAGCATTTTAGACATTGATGCCTCTGCCCCTTGAGGAGGAAGCCAGGGCACATGGAAAGCTGCTGCCCTGGGTGGCTTCACTCTCACCCCCTGTGGGGGTCCTGCAATCCCCTTCACCTCTCTGCCAAGCACATGGTGAGCACTCAGCCAGCCTCTGCAAAGACAGGCACTGTGTCCTATTACACCATTCACGTGTGCGCACACACACTCACACGTGTGCACATGCACACACGCACTCATATACTACACAGTGTGACCAAAACCACGCTTCCATTCCTCTGGGAGGATGTCAGGAAGGGTCACCCCTCCATCCCAACCTGCCCATGAATCCCTTGGGACAGGAGAAGGAGCTCCACTCACCGTTCTGCCTTCTTGGGAAGACTCTCTTCTGCAAACTCATCACACAGGTTTTTGAGGGAGGGAGAGCAAGCTGGGAAAAGTTTCTCCAAACCAGGATCAGGGTTCCATGGGAGGATCGATGGCAGCTTCTCGGCTGGGAGTATTTGAATATGAGTTAAAACTACAAAGTAACTCCTCGTTAGAACTGTTTTTTTCCTCGGCAGGGAGGGAGAAAAAAAAAATCCCTTTCCCTCTGCCAGAAAATCTTTAACGTTTCACAACGGTCGCTTCCAACTCCTGCCCTCCTTGAGAAGCAAATGTGTATAAAGGCAATGTTATTTCACTGAATCAAGCCCTCAGATCATAAGCCTTTTCCTCTACCACAAACAGAAATGTAAAACCTCAAACTTTCCTTTGGACTTGGCGTCTGTTGGGAGAGGGCAGAAACAACCCTTTCTGAGGTCTAATGTATGGAAAATGTGCTGCACTGTTAGCTCATCCCAGGCACTTCAATCTCTGCCCCCCTCTTCCACTTTTTTTTTCATGAGTTCTGGTGTGTTTATGTAATTGCATGGGACAAACACAACACCTAAAATCCTTGCCCAAAGTTGAAGTGATTCATTTTCTCCTTCACACACACTACACATAAACACAGTGCCTGTTTAATCCAAGTGAAAACGCCTTTCATAAAATCTGCAAAGAGCTTGCGCAGAGAGACCCACAGTGAATGCCGGCTGTGTCCCGAGAAGGGCAGTTGGGCTCGGGGGAAGGTGGAGGCTGACTTTAATCAAGACAAACAGAAGGGCTCTGACTCCTGCCATGCCAGGACAAAAAGGGGATAAAAGAAAAAGGGACGTGGGCCCTGGGTAACGGTGCTGTAAAACGTTTTCAGCCTTCTCTACCCAATTTCCTCTGCTTGGCTTCTCATACCAGGACATTTTATTTTTGGATTTGGACAAGATGTATTATTATTCTAAATGACCAATTTGACCGCTGGGTTAAATAAATCCTTGGATCACCATTGGAAAGACCAAAAGAATATACAGTGAGTGAGCAAACAGAACTGAAAACTGAGAAAGTAATATGCACCCCTCTGGTGGAAGAGTGTGACGATTTTGTGGGCATAGCGACGTGAGACTGAATTGAAGGGAAAGCCTACTCTGTGTGATAGAGAGAGAAAAACTTTCCAGGAAAGCAAGTGAGACAGATCCTGGTTATCTGTCACCAGCCAAGGGCCTCAGGTCTTTTTGGGATGGGCCCTCTGCCGTGGTGCCTCTGGCCTCAATATCACCACTACCACTCAGGGATCCAAAGAGTTGTGGCCACTGGCATCACCGTCACTCTGTTCAATCCACTTCCAAGTCACTGTGACTCGCCTACCCCCTCTGCACCCCTCCCCACCACACAAATATACTTTGGATAATCATTTCTCAAGGCAGTGCTACAGGTTGCCAGAAAAACTCTGCTATCAGCACCTGGAGTCAGAACAGCTCCCTGAGAGACATCATCACCTCTGGGTGAGGGTGGGGACCCCACACTGGTGCTTCCCGGCCCTTCCTCATGCCGATTAATGAATGAACAGCCTGGGCTCTGAAACTGCGGGATGCTGCAGCTATGCCATGAACACTGTGAGGGCGGGAAACTGACCTTTCATTTTAGTGGTAGCCAACAGCAGCAACAACAGGCTAGATAAATTCTGAGAACACTGCAAATACTAAGATGATATGAGTCTGGGACCGTGACTCACGCCTGTAATCTCAGCACTTTGGGAGGCTGAGGCGGGTGGATCACCTGGAGTCCAAGACCAGGCTGGCCAACATGAGGAAACCCTGTCTCTACTAAAAATACAAAAATTAGCTGGGCATGGTGGCAGGCGCCTGTAATCCCAGCTACTCGGAAGTCTGAGGCAGGAAAATTGCTTGAATTTGGCAGGTGGAGGTTGCAGTGAGCTGAGATCGTGCCGCTGCACTCCAGCCTGGGTGACAAAGTGAGACTCCCTCTCAAAAAAAAAAAAAAAAAAAAAAAAAAAAAAAAGAAAGAAAGAAAGGAATTAAGATGATGCGATAAAGTAAGATGTATTGCCATAGAAAGATGTCCGCATTGTATTATTAAGTGAATAAAACCATATACAAAAACAGGGTGTAATTATGATCCACACGTATGAAAGAAGATCAGAGCTGGAGAATATAACTGAGTTGTTTTTTATTTTCGCCATGAGCTTTACAATATGCTCCTGGGCTTTTCACTTCCAATTCACACCATCTATAGGATTACTTTAAAAAATTAAGTCAAAGCGTAGGCTTTAGAATTCCTAAGCAGACTTTGTTAAATCAATAGCAAAGAGTATAATCTTGAAAGCCATGATTTGCAATGATATGAATCAAGCCTTTGACGAAAGTATGATGGACAGAAAAATGGCTTCTCCAGAGATGTCGACATCCTGAACCTGGGAGCCTGTTAATATGTTATATTACATGGCAAGTGGGGATTAAGACTGCAGGGGAAATCAAGCTTGTGAATCAGCTGACTTGGATGATCCAGACTGGTCTAGTGTAATCTCAAGTATCCTTAAAAGTGGAAGGGGTCAGCGAGGGGCAGTGGCTCACACTTGTAATCCCAGCACTTTGGGAGGTCCAAGTGGGCAGATCACCTGAGGTCAGAAATTCAAGACCAGCCTGACCAACACAGTGAAACCCTATCTCTACTAAAAATACAAAAATTAGCTGGACATGATGGCACGTGCCTGTAATCCCAGCTACTGGGGAGGCTGGGGAAGCTGAGGCAGGAGAATCTCTTGAACCTGGGAGGCAGAGATTGAAGTGAGCTGGGGTCACACCATTGCACTCCAGCCTAGGCAACAATAGTGAAACTTCATTTCAAAAAAAAAAGTGGAAGGATCAGAGAAGCAAATGCCTCAGCAGTCAATATAGTAAGGATGGTCCTGGACAAAGGAGGGACCGACAGGCGACATCTGTAGTGAATTCCAGCAGAGAGGTAACTGTGAGTTGTACGCACCTTCCAAACACAGAGGCCCAGCAGGGAAAGTCCTGAATGGAGTGAGTAGTTACCCAGGGGAGACTGTTTTAAATTAAGAGTGGAGGGAGGCAGAAGAGAAGGTTAGAGTCAAAGTGAGACTTGCAGATGCTCTGCTGCTGGCTTTAAAGATGCAGGAAGGGGCCACAAGCCAAGGGAATGCAGGTGGCCTCCAGAGGCTAAAAAGCAAGGAAATGGACTCTCCCTTCCAGCCTCCTGAAAGAAGCGTGATCCTGCTGTCACCTGGATTTTAGCCCAAGAAGACCCATTTTGGGCTTCTGACCTCCAGAACTGTAAGCTAATAACTTTGCTTTGTTTAAGTCACTAAATTTGTGTGGCTGATCCAAATAAATACATTTGGATTTGTTTTTATTTTGTTTCTTCGATGCCAAAAGCTTGGCCTTGACTACAAAGAGAAAAGCCTGGAGGACACGAAGCACAAAATTTGTGTCATAAAACAACGATTTTGGGAAGAACATGAGATGCTATCGGAGCAGCGTTTTTTCTTATCCCAAAGCAGGTAAAACTCTGCCCAGCTGAAGGGAGGGTGAGGTTCAAAGCCACAGGTTGGAGCCTGAGAGGGGCTCTGCCCACTCTGCTCCTTTCCAAGGTTGGCACCAAGAGATGGGGCCATACACACTGGAAAAAAGAGCTCAGAGACCTGCCAGAGATTCTGGGAGAAAAGAGCCTCATTTGAGTGTCAGTCTACACAGAGTAGAATATCCACCTGGGATATTTAGACAAAGATTCGGGGACACTCTCCTGAGTCTTCCGTTAGGGGTGGGAGTATAACTGAAAGTTTCCTGTGCCTCGAAGAGGTACCCAGAATTGTCCAGACGTGCCAGCTGCCCCAGGGAGCTCTTGACAGTCGGACGCAGAGGAAACAGGATGACCTTTACAGATCAGAGAACCAGATGCCTCAGCGGCCCGTGTGATGAAGATGGAACCTTCCTAGACAAAGGACCATGTCTTTTGAGGTTAACATTTCCGAGTCTGCAGCAATGCTGAAATTAAGCTGCAGCTGTGGGCCCATTGCTTTTAGCCTCTTGCCTTAAGAATCACATGCACGTGTGTCTCAGATGAAAGACCCTTGACACTGACTTCTGAGTTTCTACTGCCAGCCCCAGGAAGAGGCCCCAAAGCACCAGGCTTCTTTGCACAACTCCTTCCTCTCTAGACTAAGTCCCCCAACCTGGGAGAATGGGTGGGGATCAAATGGCACCATCCCAATTATAATCACAAATTAGAAAAGCTGGAATGGGCCTTGGGGGATTGGGGAGAAACCACATTTGGGGAGGTCTTCTATTTCCTTCATTCTTTCCATGTGACCTCTTCCCATACATAAACCCAAGTCTTTGCCATCTCTCCCCTGCATACAAGGAGCTGAGGGAGCAGTTTTTTGTTACAGTCAAGAATCTACAACAAAGAACGAAAGGTCCTGCCTCTTACTAGTTAAACCACCTGGGGAGAGACATAACTTCAACCACCCATACACATTCCAATTTCTGTTCCCCTCTTGGCCACTGGCTGTGCCCCCACTAGCAGCACCTCTTACTGGCCCTCAGCACTGAGGGCTTGTTGGTGTCCCCCACACACTCAACAGTCCCTTGGACTGTGCTCCCTTCAGATGACTGGGTCCCCATCCTTAGCTAGTCCTTGTGCCCCCAGCCCCATGGGGCTATGGACACAGATGCTCCCAGTTGCTGCTGGGCCCTCTCTCCCCAGCTGATTGTGAGCTGATTGTGACTGGGCTGCCAGACAGGATGCTGGGGGCTCAGAGAGCTTGGCAGGTGAGGTGCACAGCGACCCTCACTGCTGTGGGCATAGGACCTGCCGTGCCTGGAGTGAGCCCCGAGGCTTCCCAAGTCTCACGTATTGGCCTGGTCTGCCTAGCCTGCCTCCCACTGCTGTTGCCTGGCCTGGGCCTGCCCTGATGGACCTGGAGCCTGCCCTAAACCCTGCCCCTTGGCTGTGTGTTCCCTCTTGGTTAGCGGCCTCTAGCGTAGAGACTGGCCTGTACAGTCAGCCCCTACTTCATTCTCCCAAAGCCACAAGCTACAGCCCCTACCAGATTCAGCATAGGCCACTTCTGTGGGACAGACAGCCCAAATCCAGTCCAACTCCACCACACCCTGTTATATAACCGATTCATATTGTTCCCAAGGGGCCAGACCCACAGCAGCCCTGGGACTGGTTCCCAAGGCTGACTTCCTCCCATTTCCCATTGCCTGGACCTCTGAGTTTCCAGATGATGCTGTCAAATCCCACTTAACACTTAAGGA